TAGGATGGCCCTACTACATCTTAGAAAAATTGACTATTTTATACGCAATGTTTAACTTTATTGGATTTCTTTTCTCACTCTTAAAAGGAATCTACAATACATGTGCTATACACACACAAGTAAACAGACAAGCAAGCGTAGCACGCATACTCTTTGCAGGATTTTTTGGAATTTTTTCCACATCTATAAACAAAATTCTTTTAGACGCACAAATAAAAGAATATAACACAAAAATAACAACACGACAAAATACATACGACGAAGAACATAACAATGTCGACACACAGCCAACGGCACCACAATTACCACCCCTACCAAATAACCATCCACTATCCCTAGCCCCGCGAAATTTTAGAAATTTAGCAATCACACATAATCCAAATTTTCGACTCACCACATCACAAAGTCCCGTCCAACATATAATGACACATCCATCACAAGATGATAATACTTATGAACAAATTATTGAACAGCCCCATACCACCGCTTTTCAATCTCAAAATAATAATTTTTTTAGCCCACGATGAGCCGCCAACTTGGATCACTCCATCGATCAAATTCCCATCCAACCAACCTTACCTCTTCAATCCCAATAATACCACTTTTTGCTTTTCCGCCACCCGATTTTCCATCTAGCAATGTAACATCAGGCATGAATTCCGACACTAACTCACAAATTTCAGTTTTATACTCCATTTCACAGCTAAATAACCCGAATATTGAAACCCCCGACGAATTTGCCGACTCAGAACCATCTCCATCCAATAATTTTCATAACCCTTCTCATTTTTCTCAACCTCCTTTTCAACCCATATTATCAAATAACCCTGACCCAATCACTCCTACACCCTCTTATGCTTCCCAAGTTACCCCAACCTACTCCTCATACCATTCTGACCAATCATCTCCAGACACCCCCCGAATCTCCCCAGAGCTAGAAAATTTTATTACCCTCCAACAACAACCCTACCACCTTAACACCCCGACCATAAACCAAATCTCCTCCACTACAAATTCATCCAATCCCCCTACACCCTCTTCAAATTATACCGAATCATTAGCACCATCATCCACATCAACTGAATCCTCACTCAACACTAATAGAGCTTATCGCACTTTTAAAAGAAAGTTCCCCAACCATCCTTTCCCAGCAAAACCAGGAACAGCCCGAGAATACATCAACCACCCCCAACATACTAACACTAGAGAATTTTTAGCCATCACTTTACCCTCATTTCCACAATACACCTTAAACACCCCTCATGACGCTAACGAAACACGCAACTTTGTAGACGAATACGTTTTAATGCCCACTCTCTCTTGGACCTCATACTATCATTTCACTAACCCTCTTTGCTTACCTTTAACTAACACATCCATTGATATAGACCGAAACAAAGACATGCTATATCGACTAACTACACCACTCACCGCTAGACAATTTACTTACGTTGGATATAAAAAATCACTAAAAATACACACTGCACCTAGAGCTAACGAATACACACTAGAATACTATGATCACAACATCATCAGAGCTAACCAAGATCAATTCTTAGACGACGATCGCTTCGCTAACCCACAAATCACCGAGAAATTTTTCATCAAGACACCATATGTATTTACACTAAACATCTTCGACCGAAAGTTTGATCACATTATTTCAGAAGCACTAACAAGCACACAAGCGTACGAAAGTTTTAAAGAACGCTTCCAAATCTTTTCACTAACCTTTCATTTCCTTGCACCACACGAAAGAGATTTACACTGCTCACACGATATTATGTTGCGAACTAAACAAACACATACATACAGTTACTATCGTTTCATCCAAAATCACTTTGACCTCCACACACCCTCTAGACAACCACACCATCGCTTTCAATTCATCAATTCAAAATACACTTCACCGTATTTCCTAAATTTCACATATTGTATTAAAAATACTAACCTTCATGGTATTCTTCGTAATTATGACCCCATAACCCAAATGTATATTTTCTGCCCCATCACCAAGACCTTCAACGCAGAAGAATCCCGACCCTTCCTTATCCCGCACGAGTTTGTACAGCCTATAGAAATCCCCATTTTAGAATTCATCCACAACACTAAATTTAACCACAAGTTATATAACTTAATCCAAAACACACCTTATGAGTTTGCAGTAGGCACTGAAGAACTAACCACTATTAAGGCACTTCAATTGCTTTGGCCACTACTTCAAACTAAAAATATCATCCGCATCTTAGCTAAACTACTAACAACTTCAGAACTAATTCACGATATCTTCCCCCACGGTTTTTTCCCCGACGACTAACAGGTAAGTATGAACTAAATGAATATTACTAACTAATTAAAATATTGAAAAACTCACCATTCCTTATTCATGTTTTCTTTAGATTTTTAGCCTTCATCTTCAATCATCTGAAAAATTCACAAAAGAAAAATAAAAAATATCAAACTTCTTCAAAACTATTTAAAACCCTATTTAACTTTTGCACCAACAATTAAATAAATATAATACCAATGCAGTAAATTAATTTATAAAATTTTCCCCTAAAAGCAGTAAATCTACATATGATGAAAATTTGTATCTTAAAATTCCCCCATTACTAGCAGTAAATTTCCAAATTCTATGCAGTAAATTAATAAAATGCAATTGCAGTACTAACCTTTTGATATTTTCATTCATTCGCACAGAAATTCTATCCACACTCGCACAGCTCGCCCACGAAGAATTGTTTAAAATAATGAATTTCAGTTTCAAGTTTTCACACTCAACAACTCTAACAAATAATAACAAGTTTCAAACTTTCCTTTAACCCGGTTGGAAAGGAATCATATACTAAACAAAACTAACCAACGCAGCTTACTAAATACCACAAATCATAAAATAACAGCATGACTAAGAAAAGGAAACCAACGGTACCCAAACCGGATTAACCCAGTTTAAAACTGGATAATTTATTCTTTTGAAGACTATTACAAAGTCTTAGAAAGAAATAATAAAACACAAAAAAGTCAAAAGACAAACCCATACCACAAACAATTTGCTTTTTGGAAAAAGTACATAACCAACAAAACATAAGTAAAACCACAACAAACCCAACATAAAATGTTGTCACATAACAGGACCCCTCATAAAAACCGCATGAAATCATACTCCCACACCTGGCCTAACCCACCAGGAAAGGACGTCCTGAGCATGCTCTATAGCCGGCCTAACCCACCGTGCTACATCCACGCTTTGTGACCACACCTTTATTTTTAATAAGAGCTACTCAAGGGTGAGTAACTCTTCAAAATAACCGAACTAAAACAAAAAGCTTTTGTGAAAACAACTAACTAAAATCATAATTAAAAAATATTAAATTAATAAAAGTTTTATAAAATGTAAAATCACATGATGCAATATATAGATCAGAATACAACACCAAGGACGAACATCAAAAGACAAGACGACCTCACTACACTCGAGAGAGAATGACCAACTATAATCGATATGCCGCTCACAATCACAACTCAAAGGATTTAGAGTACGACTTGACCTCGCAGAAAAGGACTTCATTGAACTAGACCAATGACCACCTCGATGTTCAAGTATACGTACAGATCCGAGTAACCAGGCATCCCCTCCACGCACAATCTCCACGCCATTCCCGAGCTAGATCAAACACAAAAGAAGTTCTCTCCGAAGAACAGAAAAACCTGACATAGCCAACCATTCTGAAACCAGAATTGATGCTGTTGCAGAGACTCAGTCGTTGTCACAAGAAGAACACAACGTCTTGTGTCCTCAATTCCAGATCCCTGGAACTTCCTTAACAAAAAGGAAACAAAAGAAAAATGATGTTCGCCAAATACCAACGTCCATCATCCATCCTTGAACTACAAAAGAACTGTTCTAAAAAACTCTGTAAAACCCGGATGGGTGGAACCTGATCTAAACTATATTTTATGATTGGATAAATTAAATGTTTTACCAATGTAAAGTATTTAATATTAACCAATCATGATCCATCTAACTAACAACCCACTTATTTGTAAGTGCTGAAGTTACTTGTAATTTCAGCACCAGAGAGATTTGAATTTAACTTAGAAATTAGTTGGACTCTCCCGAGCACTTCAGCAGCCGCAATAAACCAGTATACCCTAGATCTATTGAGCCTAGCAGAGACTAGTTAAACAACCTGAGACTAGATAGTATAAGAGTAAGATTAGGATCGGTATTAGACTAAGAAGTTGCACGAATCTATCCGGCCGAAAATAAGATAGCGTGACGAGCAGACGGTGTACCCTATCCGAAATTACTCTATGAGTTACACTCCAGTCCTAACTCAAAATGTCCCGCCCAAAAAGCGCCCTTAAGCCTCAAATTCCTGCGCGCACCTCTGTGAACAAACAATGAGCACTCAGTTAAGAGAGGCTGCTTCTTAAATGCAAACATCTGATTGGCTGTCAAAGAGTTGTCTTGAGAACAAATTGTAAACATTTGATTGGCTGGTTATAGTTTTAAATGAGCACAGAGAACAAGCAAGATGTGCAGATCTGATTGGTCGATGATCTCATTTGAAAATTTTCTTAAGATAAGAGTAATGGAACCACACGTAAGTATCCGGTCCCTCAAAGCAGTTTCGGGGAGGGAAGATGTTAAGTTGATTTCAAATTTGAATTTTCAAATGAAGTGGTCTAATTTATGAATTGATACAAACATCATTTATGAATTATGAAGATATTTTCTATAGAGCTCTTTTAGTTTGAGGGTCCCATATTTCTAGTTTGGGATCTTGTTAACTATCCCCCCCCCCCCCACTATTGCAATAGGGGGGAAATAAATAACAAGGTACAAAATTCGTAATGATTGACTGTTCAATTTTTTCTTAATAGGGGGATATTCGTTACAAAGTATACCATAGGGGGGGGGGGGGAGGGGTAGTTAACAAGATCGCTATTTTGTTCCAATCGGGACTCTTTTATCTTACTTTCTTCCCACTTTGCAGGTACGACGTGCCCTACTACCAGTATCCAGAACCCCCTCCTCCTCAAAGAAGGATACTGGACGGGACTGAGAATAGGGAGTTTGGGGGAGGGGGGAGGGGCGCGGAGACTAGAGACTACATGGGGGGTCTGGAAATTGTCGAGGAGCCCCCGAGTCAGTACACAATTCCGATTGCACCTCAGATAGTGAGTTAATGTCCCCCCTTTAACTCTTCCCTATTTAACTATCCCCCACCCCCTCCGCAGAGTGTAGTTTGTAACGAGTATCCACCCTTAAAAAGAACGACTTCAACCTAGTAACGAATCTAACCCCGACCCTTATTGCATTAAGTGGTGTTTGTTGACAAAGGTCTGTTGAATAATCTCTGATATGACAACAATTTATTTTTTATTATTATTAAACACAAGTCAATCTTGGGTCTGAAATCGAGTACTTTTCTTCTGGTTTTATTAATATGAGGACTGAGCTTAACCCGATTCGATGGTTGCAGGTCATGGCATTTTCAAAAGGAAACTAGTTTTTTTTTATTTCTTGCTGCTTTTTTTTTCAATATTTGGTGATAATATTTGGACGAAAAGATTTGATTGATCTATTCAATGCAGTCGCTCTAAAAACAAAAATCTTCTTTTTATGAAAAAACTAAACAACTAAACTTGCTGTTCCTGTTTAGTATCGAATGTCATGAATGTTTCGAACTTTATTAGAAGCTTCGAAACGCCCATTAGTCATTTCCACCCCCCCCCCCCCTCACCTATCTAATTTATATTATTTAATTTACAGGTATTTTTGGCTAAACGGGCAATATTACGATGTAACGTTTGAAAAAAATTTTTGTATTGTTCACTGTTCACCGTGCCAAAATTCAAAATTAAAATTCAAAAGTGGGGGTGGGGTGGGTGGGGTCGAAAAAGAGCTGTAGAACTATTTTATTTAAGGTGGATCCCTTGAGCCAGCCCAGACTACCAATGAAACTGTCTCAGCCTCTCTTCTTCGACGGGACATTTGACCCGAAGAGCAAATCATTCCTCCTGCTCGAGAAATTCAACGGAGGAGAGATAAAGGTAAGGGGGGCAATTTTCATCCACGAAGGACCGAATGCGCGAAACTTCTCAACCAATCAATACCATTTAAGCTGTCGAAAATTGACTGTTTTTGTCGCTTATTTTTGTCGAATTTTTGAATAATGACTTCTGAGCTAGTTTTTAGACCTGTTTTCCTGGTTTTGGGTCAACCTAGAAGTTTTGGGGCCTCCTCAAAAATTTATTAAGACCCGAGGGATTAAGAACCCTGGTATGTATGCGAAACTAAAAATGTTGAGAAAATTACTGGGCGACCGGGCCGCGTACTAATCCCGCCTTGATTTTGGGCAAAAACATTCCCCACATACCTTTATAGTTTTTTAACCCACATTCACCACGTATTTTGACTCATTATAATTACACCTTTAGTTGGATTTAATTTAGCAATTGTTATTTTTAAATGGGCAACCTTATGGACCGCGAGTTTTGAATCAAACTTCAAATTTTGTTTCAAATGGATTTTGCGCCTTCAAATTTGAATTTGAGCCTTTTTTAGCAAGAAAATTCCAAAAAAGTTCGTCTTAACAACATTGTTGAGAATTTTTCTGTGTTTTTAAGGACCGCACACTTTCACTCTAGTTTTCTGTCTGTTTAAAGTGGCTTCGGCCTAATGAGCTGTCTGTCACCCCGTCGATCTACTCGAAGCATTTCATCACCAGTGACTTCAAACAGGGCTTCCTCAAAGACACTTGGCTGCTGATGGCATGTGCAGCCATATCCAGATACCCTAACCTACTCAAAGTAGTCCTTCCTCCGGACCAGGTTTGAAATATTTCAAAGAGCAAAAGTCTACAATAATAATTAATTTGTGTACCCAATTACATTATAAAAAACCAATTACTTTATACATTTTTTTAAAATCAAAATATAGTGGGAGAAGACCTGGGACATGCATAAACGTGCGTTTGAAGGAATCTCGAAAGAATCTTGCAAGAATCGTACAAGAATCTCTTAAAGAGGATGCATCGCTTTCGAAGGAATCTTCCCCACCATATTTTGATAGAAAATCATTTACAAAATTAAAAAATTTCCAAAGGATATCTATTCCAGAGTTATTGATAAAAATTTACAAATACGAGTCGGAATTGTATGGGAGAACAACTTTAAGCCAGCACGGCCCAATTGTCATTTTAAGAATTTTCATTAAGCAGAGAACAACAAAACAAAATCATATTTGATATAGAAGTATAAATCGCGTTTCAATACCAAACAAATTCTGTTCATTTAGAACTATATCTATCAATCAGGGCCACTGCACGGGCTTTAAAAGCCCAATTGTGGTGGTCCTTCGAGATTTGTAGTGGTACTTGTAGCTCATTTGAAAATTTAAAAAGACTGCTCGTATCAGGGTGAAGCCCTGATTGTTCCGACTGCCCTTTAAGGTCCATGGAGCTTAAATAACATGAAAAATTTCAATGTAATGAAAAAAATTTAAAAAAAGATTTTTGAAAAAAGTTGAGATTTTATGTAAAAACATCCCCCCACAAGTCTTGTTAAGTACAAAGTGATAAATTTTGCGCCATTAACAAATTAATTATGGCATATAAGCTTCCTTAAACCAATTTGGAAGGATTTCTAAGACTGATTAAATCTCGCTTACGCGTTTATAGCGCGAAATTTATCGCGCGTTAATTGTCCCAAATTGGCCAAAATGGCAACCTTTAATCCCCATAAATTTACGAAAAATGATCACAGGTGAAATTTTTTTTTCAAATTCCAGCTGAGGACAACAATAGCTTTTGAATGTTATTAAAAATTCCGTCAAAAATGGCTAATTAAAAAGTCGAAATTTGTCTGAAGAAAAAAAACCCATCCCGAGCACAAATATTCCGTTACTTTTATATCGAAAGTCGGAACCTTAAAAGTCGGAACCTTTTAATTCCTTAAAAGTTCGCAAAGTTTATATTCCTGAAATGTTCCGGATAATTTCAACACTCTCAATTCAGTCGAGTCAGAAAAATTGCAACAAACTTTATTTGCTGTTCTAATAAAATTAAAACTTACTGCATCTAGACCAGGCTTGATAAATTTGTTGAGTTGAAGGACCAGCAAACAAAAGTAAGATCTTAAGAATTGTTTTTTGGATATTATTTGTTTTTTTTTTTCGCGGATTCGAATAGTTATTCAATTTAGACCCTAGTCGATCAAGAGACGTTATCTTGCAAAAACCTGCAAGAATTTTGCAAGAATTTCGCAAGAATTTTAAAAAGAGGATGCATCATTTTAAAAGAAACTTGCAAGACTCTTTCAAGAAATTGCAAGATAACCACCTTTGACCGACTGCGGCGGAATAAAGAAAATAATAGAAACTTTTCACCCTAGCTCCCCCCTTTTCCTTACATTCATGCCGGAAAATCTAAACCTCCTTTCCTGCCACAATCAAAAGTAGAATCGTTCCACAAGAACCAAGACAATTGAGATTCTAAAAACCTAACTAAAATCATACACAAACAAAAAACAGGAAGCGAAAACTAATTAATAAATGTGAAATAAAACCGAAATAGGAAAGAATAAATCTACCAGAAAGTTGTAAAAATTGAACCTAGCATGAACGAGAGAAACTTAAAAGCATTGAACTGTCATTCAAGCGCTCAGACCATTGTTAAAACAGAAAAACCAAAACCAATCCAGCATATTTTTAGAAAAATTATTCTAGATATATCCTCTGATTTTAGACATAAAATAGTCTTTATTGAAATGTATCCATATAGAAAAACCACTTTCTAACATTTTTTGAGACACACATTAAAATACTAAACTGGTCAAATTATTGCGTTAAACTCTTTTAACTGTTTTTTCATTAAAAAAAGAAACACGTAATAAATTCTCAAACTTTGCTGCTACAGAAAAGTAGCCGAAATTAAATTGAAGATAACGGACACGTAACGGTATGACTTTGAGTTTGACTCTCTTCGATCATCAAATCGGATCACTTGAGTAAGAAACTGTTTGCTGATTTTTGCTGAAACAACTGCGGTTAAGAGTGTTAAAAAATTTATTTTTGGATTATAGGATAACTCAAGCTAAGTTAAAAGCCTAGATGTTCCTAGATGTTCCTAGATCATGTGATGTTCCTAGATCATGGAAGGTCAACAAGAAAAGTTAATCCGCGGAGTAGGAAGGCAACTTTAATCAATGAAAATGTATTAAACCAGGATTTGGAACAAAAGCTCTAAGTTAGCTCCCTAAAAAGAAGAAGGGGGAGATCAAAATGGTCGATTTTTCGACCAATCAGATTTCAGCAAAATTAGAATTCTCAATAGAAAGCGCTAGCATTAATTTTTTGTTTTTATTTATAGGGGTGGGGATTCTTAAGTAGATACCTTAGTGGGGAGAGATTTTTGAGTAGATCCCGTTTTTTAGCAATAAAACTATGCGATCCTCGTTTTTTTTTTGTAAAAACGATATTGAACTGGAACATTACAAGCTAGAATAAGCTACCATTAAGCTTTAAACTGCCAACTGCCATTGAAAATTAAGACCGTAGTATCAACAACTTATGTATGAAATTTTTTCAAAAATTGGAAATACATCCTGAAAGCGTTTTGTTTTCTCAGTTAGAAATTCATGAAGTCAGCTCATGCAACCGTACAAGAAACTGCTGCACAAACAATCAATTATTTGCTCAATGTTTCCAGCATAAACTTACCAGAAAAGACTTCAAAAGACTCATTTTATAGGGTTCACTTTCAAAATTAGTCAGTATTTCAATTCACGAGATTCAGGTAAAAAAATGAACAAGCCTGCTCGTATCAGAGCAAAGCCCTGAGTTTTCCGACTGCCTTATAAGATCTACGGAGCAGTGATAACATAAAAATTCAGATGTAAAGAAACAAAAGTGAAATTCAAAAAATTTAGATTTTTTTGGAAAACATCCACAAGTATGTATTGGAAAATATCCATTTTTGGAAAACAAGTAATAGATTTTTCTCTTATAACAAATCAATTGTTGCATGTAAGCTTCCTTGAACCAACTTGGAACGATTTCTATGACGGATTAAATCTCTACTAACGCGTTAATAGCGCGAAATGTATCGCGCGTTAATTGTCCCAAATTGGCCAAAATGGCAATTATTAAACCCCGATAGCTTGAAGGTTGAATAATCACAGTTATTTTTTTCTTTGAAATTTAAGCTCAGGGTAACAAAATTTTTCGAATTGTAAATTTTTTTGTCAAAAATGGCTTGTTAAAAAGTCGAAATTTGTCAGAAGAAAGAAAACAACTCCAAGCACAAATACTCCGTTACTTTTGTTACGAAAGTCGGAACAAAAACGTAGTAATGAAATTAGTTCTACCTTTCAAAGTTCATATCAATAGACCGAAATTTTTTTTTTAAATCAACAACTGACTTCAGAATTTTTAGTCTGTTTTGTGTCTCATGAAGGCTTTTAACAACTATTAAGAATGAATTTGATCATATTTTTACATGTTTTGCAAATGATGCCATCCAAACACTGTTCGACTTTCTTCTGGCGCAAGATTTTATTTTAGAGAAATTTGCCAACAAATTTTCCTCAAAAGTACCGCGATCACAATAAAAAATTGAACTCCCAGGGATTTTTCTGTGCAAATTCTGAATTTCTCAGATCTGAAATTAGAAATTTGCTAGGTAGGGGCACTCTCACTCGGGTCCAGTTGTTGCAGAGTAGATCGGTTCTTTTTGGTAAAGAAAATAACGGGTTCCAAAAATATCCACTTACTGAGATTTTATTGGAAAAATAACAGCAAGCAAACCGATAATGAATGCAGAAAGTATCAGCAATTTTCTGAACAGAATCAAACAGTAACAAGACTAAAACTCTTAAACGCACAAAAAAACCCTTAACGTATCAATTTTAGCTTCAGTAGCTGACAGCAAACACGAAATTCAGTAGCCATAAACCTGTCTTTTGCAGGTCTGACAAGGTCGACAAGGTTTTACGTTTTATGATCTTACTATTACTTAATAATATTTGAAATTAGTAAAACATTTTTGGACGAGAGGCGCTCAAACCCGCGCCCAAGGACATGTTATATCCCTAACTTGAGCCTATGCGGAGTTGCGTTAGTCTCTCGGCCAACGCGACTGGTCTGTTTTCGTATAGTTCAAGATTTAGCTTCATAGGTTTGCTTTTCACAATTACAAGTGTGAACATTAACAATAAGAGGTCTGCATTAACAATAATAAACTGCAAATGAGTAATTTTTTTTCGAATAATCAGATTAATGTTATTAAATTAACTGAGAAAACCCTTAAAAAAGTAAAACGAGAAAACAAAAACATCAAATTTTCAAAATCAGAGAGAAAGTTTTGCTCATCTTCACTTGTTTCAGGTTCTAAAAGGAAGCGCACATTCTGGTAAAATTGTAGTCAACTTCTATCTGTTTGGCTCTTGGAAGACAATTTCAATCGATGACAGATTACCCTGCTATGGAAACGATTTGGGTATTTTAGATGTTACTTTTTATTATCACCTTTTCTTCTTTTAAGTAAATTTCTTTTTTAAAGTTTTTAAATATCGATTAGAAATTAAGAATGATCGAACATTTATAAGTACAAAAAATTAATTTTTTCTCAATGGAGCCAACTTTGTTTGGAAAATTGATCCTTTGGAATTCTATTTTTATCTTAAACACAATTTGATGTGCTATAAAGAAATTAAATGCGACTTTGTGAAATAACTTTTGCCTTGAAATGACTGTTGGCTGTCTTTTCCTTGTTGGAGCGTCTTTTTGCAATTCAGAAAACAAATTTTATCAAACTTTCCTAGTCGATCTATAGTTTGGAAATTCAATACCGCCTTCTATTAAGTTTGTTATATGCTAGTTGAGTTGGCTGCCGGCGGGCAATAATGTGAACTAATTTTTGACGACTTTCAGCCTATGCCAGGTGTGACAACCCGGATGAGTTTTGGGTGTCTTTGATTGAGAAGGCGTATGCCAAAGTGTTCGGAAGTTACGAGGCCTTGGAACTCGGTCATCAGAGAGACGCGTTAACAGACTTGACCGGAGGAATCTGCGAGTTTTATAATCTAGGTTAGGTTTTGATCAGAACAAGCTGAAGTGAATGTTTACGCACACTGCTGGCAAAATTTATTCAATATAACCCCAAAACAACCAGCAAATTTACCTGGATAACTTTTTTTAATTGAAAAAATTAAATAAATAAAACTTTATAGGAAAGGTTTAAAAGGTGGTTTTTCGAAGACGGTGTCACATGTAAGTTGGTTGATTTTTTGTTTAATAAAGTAAAGTATAATGATTTTTTAAAGATATTCGAATACTCCGACTGATTTCGCTATTGAAAATGAGTATAGAACTTCAAATCATTGATGGATAGATAGCGACAAAAACTATTTTAAACTTATGTAAATACATACGCAGGTGAGATAATGAGTCATCGAATTGATCTGGAACATGCACTCTATATGGGGTCCCAGTGTCATGCAATGATGACATGCAGCCGGAACCCACTGGACAAAAACCAGGCAAGCAGAATTGAAAATTTCCCTCGTTGACCTTAAACGGACCAACAATTTTAACAAATTTTGTCAACTTCAAAAAGAACCATATTTAAGCCTCAAACCTCGGTGAAATAATTGTTGGTTTTTTTCTCGCTCGCGATAACTGTAACCTTGTTGAAATACAGAAAAATTTCAAATTTCTCAATATTTTTTTGATTCATTGCTTCTCATTTAAATAGTTTTTTTAATTGTTCACAGTTTTTTCGATACTTTCTGATTTTTTATAATTTCTGAAGAGACTCACTTTTTTACAGTTTTGCGAGATCAATTTTTTTTTCCAAAAGAGAAGTAGCTATATTCAAAAATGGTTTAATATAATGTCAATTTTATAGGAGCAAGAATACAGAACTGGCTTGATATCTGGACACGGATATGAAGTGACTGGCGTGTTCCTCGTGCCCTGGGAGAGAGGGGGAGAGGAGATGGTGATTAGAATACAGAGTCCCTGGGACTACAGCAAGGCATGGACGGGCTCATGGTCCGACTTGTGAGTCGCTTTTTCCAGAGTGAATAAACTATAGTTGAGGAAATCAGAAGTGATAACTTTGAGTTTTCGAGTGATGAAATGAGCGAAAGTTTTTTCACGTTTCTGCCAATTTGTCCCACAAGTACTAAAGAATCACGGATGAAATTTTGGCATATGATAGATACGTATAAAAGAGCAAAACCGGATAAAAACCATAGAATTTTGTTTTCAAGTCGTCGATTAGCCATTCATTGAAATACTCATAGAGATATTCTTAATATGAAAAGAATCCTCATAAACATCAGAAGTAGTTTGAAGTTTAAACAAAGGCAGGTTTTACATTAGTCTACAAAACACAAACAAGACTGCTCGTATCACGGCGAAGCCCTGAATGTTCCGACTGCCTTTAAGGTTTATGCAGCAGCAGTAATAACGTTAAAAAATATATGAAATAAAATAAAACGAAAATTTTTTTTTCTAAAATTTGAAATTTTTTATGAAAATCATCCCCCCACACGCCATATAAAGTACAAAAGAATAGATTTCGCTCCTAGTAAAAAATCAAATACGGCTGTGCTCGCTAAATCTCCGTACAATGAAGTTAAAACCGAAGGGTCAATTATGAATTCGTATTCTCGGCAATACAGAATTTATCGGATATATTGATAATTTTCATTCAAGTTTTTGCTGTTAAACAAGTTCATAATTTTAACCAATAATCAGCTCCAATAAACAAATTGGCGCAAGCTAGCCACAAGAACCGGTCGGTAATGTCATTGAGACAAATTGCTCTTTTTGACGGTCAGCCTTAATCAAGGCCGAACCGAATTAGAACCAAAAAACAGTTAAAATGGGATATAACCCCCGTCTTTAGTATATTAATACATGGGCAGTTGGGGCACTCAAACCTACGTCAACTGTTATGTCACACATATAATCGGCGTTAGCTTAGGCCACTCGGCCAACTGTGCTTACTTTATATGCATCTATACTCTTGTTTCATATGCATCTATACTCTACATTTGCATTGCAACATCCTCCCTCCCCCCCCCTGAAGAAGGAAGAACCGCAGCGAGCTTAACAGTCGGCCGAGTGACTTCACGGGTTGCGGTCTTAACAAGGGCGGAACGAGCGCAACTATCGGGCTCAATCACCCACACGAGATCGCCTGTTTTAAGAGGGAAGTCAGAATCAGTGTGCCACTTGACAAGCTTATTCAGCGAGGGAACATATTTTCGAAGCCAACGAGACCAAATCGCGTTAGCATATGACTGCGCTCGCACGTACCTTTTCTTGTGATCGAAGTGCTCCCCGGGTAAAAGCGAAGGAAAGTTTGTGGCATTTTGTCCAAGCAAAAAAATGGTTTGGGGTTAACGCTTCTAACTCACGAGAATCAGTACTAACGGGAGTGATTGGCCTCGAATTCAAAGCCTGCTGAACTAAGCAGAGTGTTGTTCCTAACACCTCTTCAGTGACTCGCCTACTGCTTAGGATATCGTACAGCACGCGCTTCACGCTTCGGACGAGGCGTTCCCATGAGCCGCCATGACGGGGTGCGCCTGGCGGGTTAAATTTCCAAGTAACACCTTTGTGTGCAAAAATGGTCGGAGCCATGCCATTCCAGCTCTTGATGTAGGCAATTAATTCCTTTTCCGCACCAACGAAGTTCGTGCCGTTATCCGACCAGATTGTGCTTGGCGTACCACGGCGCGCAATGAACCGTTCAATGCCCATGACACAAGAACTGGTGTCCAGAGATGGTACAATCTCAAGGTGTACAGCCCTGCTGGTGAGGCAAGTAAAAAGAAATCCCCATCTTTTTTCAGTGCTTCTGCGAACCGGAACATAAAGCGGTCCAAAGTAATCCACACCCGTCTGATTGAAGGGTGGTTGCTTGTATCCGAGACGTTCGACAGTAAATCGGACATAATTGGCTGGATGGTGATTGCTTTGAGTTTACGGCATGTCACACATTGATTTTCGATAGACCGAAGTAGTCGACGCAACCCAAGTATTGCATATTTCATATTTAAAACGGAGCGCATGTAATCTAATCCTTGATGAAAATGCTTATGGTGGAGGCTGCGGGCCAAAAAACGAACTAGGATATGTCGGGCGTCGAGTAAGATTGGGTGTTTAGTGTCAAAGTCGGTATTCGCTAAGCGCACAATCCGTCCGGTGGAACGAATGATACCAGCGGGACCGATAAATGGCAATTTTACTACTATTCTTAATAGGTTTGCCAGCGGCGAGTGTTTTTAACTCAACGGGGAAGGATTCCATCTGAGGAAGATGAATCAGTTTGCTTTCTGCAATATCAAGTTCAGTGGGGTCGGCGATTCGTAAGTCCTTACCACAAAAATGCTTATGTGAAGGCAACATCCTCAACATAAAAGCGACTACTCGTTTATATCTCGTAAATGAACTGAACCTTTCCCAAGTGAACCCGTGTTCGGGATGTTTGATGGATGTGACATCGGTGACGAAGGAAGATGATGTCTCCAAGCAATTATCAACATCACAAGAAGGACCCTTCAAACGAATTCTATTGATTACACATTCGTCGGGTATAAACGGCCAATGACTAGTCCTGAGAATGCTCGGACCAATAACCCAGCTGCTATCCTTGTGGGCTTCCGAAGAAATCCCCCGCGTACCGGTATCAGCTGGATTATCGCCGCTCAGAACATGGTGCCACTCATCAATAGTGGTCGATTCGAGGATTTCGCCGACACGATTAGCGACGAATACAGGTAATTTTTCGGTGGAGTTTAGCCACTGCAAAACAGTTGTACTATCTGTCCACATGTAGACATGATTAATAGAGACGGTAACAACGGAGAATAGTCAATTGCCCTAAGAGAGAGAGAGACCGGAGTGCCACTCGAGAAACTTATCTCTTATGTCTTCTGGCAATTCGTCGTCCCAACTTTGGCCACTGATTTTCCAAATATCTTTAAATAAAAGACGGGCCCTAACTGTGTATGGAGCTACTAACCCAACAGGGTCAAACACAGAAGAGACGAAACTCAAGACGGTTCGTTGAGTTATTGCTTTATCGAGAGGACGATCCACGCCTCTGCTAACAACCAATGTGTCTTTCACATGGTCCCACTTAAGACCTAAGACGTGTGATGATTGTTCGGCACCGTTACATATTTCCTTGATGGGTGAAGATGAGGTTTCGGATTCCTCGGGGTTCATTGCTGAAGTGATTTCATCAGCATTACTGACAAATTTAGTCAGATTAAATCCGCCTAATTTTAGTAAGGAAACCAAATCGCGACTAGTTTTAATTGCTTGGGTAACGTTCTCGAATGAATCCAAGTAATCGTCCATGTAAAGTTTTTCATTTACGACTGAGGCGGCCTCAGGGTATGTGGACATATTATCAGTTGCTGTTTTTCGCAACGCGAAATTGGCGCACGTAGGCGAATCCCGTGCGCCGAATTTATGGCGAGTGTACTGATGAACTACCACAAAAAACGGAGCGAAATTTGATAGCGGGCAAGGACTCCTACCTGGAGGAACATACCCTCTATATCCGCGGATACGGCGTACTTGTGTTGACGGAATCGCAAAAGCACAAAAATTAAATTTTGGAGTAGGTCAGGACCCACCAATAAGGACTTATTTAAGGTTGTGCCGTGAAACTTAGAAGCCCCATTAAGAACTCGGCGCACCTTACCCGGCTTATTCAGATTTACGACGGGATGGTGCGGAAGATACCACTCGCGATCGGAACACTTACGTGGATCATGCGGTTCGACGGTAACGACATAGCCTTTCCTAATGTCCTCTCTAATTGTTTCTGCGTATCTTTCGCGCAGCTCAGGGTCTTTAGTTAACCTTCTCTCCAATAATTTGAATTGGGCGAGTGACGAGTAATAATTGTTTGGTAGACTGACATTACTATCAATCCAAAGAATAGGCACAATGTATCTTTCGCCATTGTGAACGGTTTCAGAATTTAGGATGGATAAAGCATGTTTATCCGCGGCGGAACGGGCATCGACTTGTTTGAAAGCACCATACGATTCCAACTCGTACCAGGATTTTATCTGGTCGGTCAGAGAAGAATCTTCAACAACACACTTGAAACACGAAGAAGTAGAATTACCGGACGGCGGCAACGGACCACTTAAGACCCAACCTATCGGTAGGCGAACGGAACACGGCGAGTTTTTATCATCTCCCAAGATGAACTCAATGGGTCTAACGGCGTGGTAGTAGCCTTGTCCGATAATAACTTCAACGTCCTCATAAGTATATTGAATGGGCTTAATAGGTGCTAATTGTGGATATTTATTCTGCAAATCAGCAATATTGATTAATTCGGAACCAATCCGAATATTGTCTTTAACATGAGACATTGTCTTTCTATGCACAGAGAGAAAATACGAAATCACTATTATTCGGCTCGGAGGAAACTGTAAACTTGACCCTCTGAGTCTCAACAACGGTGGTTGAATTGAAACCACTAATTGACAAGTTAACGGGCTCCCCTACTAAGCCGAGACGGTTTACGAGTGACGAAGACACCCAGGAGTGAGTCGATGCACTATCACAAAGAACCAACGTCAGGAGACTGGTTACATCCGAGGATACACCAAGTGTTGCAATTGGCAACAACCCTTTAGAAGATTCAATGTCATGTACATCACTAACAGCGGCATGGGTGGAAGTGTTTGTATTCTCCTTGGATTTGTTTGTTCCAGCCTTATTCGAGACCTTCGAATTTTCCTTCCGAGGAAATATTCTTTCGGCTCCATGGAGCAAGACATTATGTGTGCTATCACACTCTGGCTTCGGGCTTTTTTTGCTCTAGAACATTGCCGGAAACTATGATTGCCATTGAGACAAGCGAAGCAAAGTTTCTGTTCAGTTACGTATTTTGCTCGCTGAGTAGCATTCTTGTCCTTTAAAACAGCACAATTCCACATGCATGACTACCCTTACACAAAACGCACGGCGGAAACTTAGACTTATCCTGAGCCTTACTAGTTACCTGGCTATTGGCT